CAACATTAACCTTCTGGAGCCCCGGGGTCAGTCAAGAATACAACCGGTTTGCTCGAAACCCCTGGCACATCATCATCATAGGAAATGGTTGTATTCTTCGACTGAAAGGACTAGTTTATTATTATATATATATTATATTTATTATTATACTTAGATATAAGCTTCTTTTATTATTTCAGAATTTTGGTAAAAATTTTATGATAATCGGACAACTATATCATATAGCTGCCATATAAACGATCGGTAGATGTAGAGAAAATGTAAGGCAGGGAATGTAAAACTGTAACTGTCAAACTGTAAACATAATAAGTATAGGGAAAATGTAATGGAACTCTGCTTTGTGAGTGTTTTCAGCATTTAAATCTATAATATAAACATCGAAACCAATCTGCAAGGGTATACAAACTTCGGCGGCCCGAAGTTAGCTTCCTTTCTTGTTTTGTTATTAAGTAGATCTTAAAATGGCCAACCTCAACGAAGCTCTTCCAGTCAATGTAGTTAAAGTTGACAAAGAATTATGGAAGAAATGTAAGTTAGCTGACCCCGAATTTGATAAACCAGGTCGTATTGACATAATCATTGGAGCAGACTTATATACTCACGTTATACAGAATGGAGTTATAAAAAAAGACGGGCTCCTTGGGCAAAAAACTCGTTTCGGGTTGATTGTTTCTGGATGTAAAAAATCCAAACCAAAACAAAATAGCAAAACAATTGTAGCAACGACAATCGAGATAAAAGATTTAGATCGATATTGGGAGGTTGAAGAGGAAGACGGGAATGATATCGAGTCTGAGATATGCGAAAGCAAATTTAATAAAGTGTTCACACATGAACACGTAGATAAGAAGCATGTGTTAGCGATTAAGTCCCTGCAGCACTACACTTGTCTATCTATAAGAACAGCCGCCACTTGGACCTATGGAAATACAAGCAACCCGAAATATGACCTCCTATGAGCGATCTGGGTTTGTATAAAATATGTGCTATCGGGGTGACTGTGTGCACCCTTATCGCACTTAGAATATTTCCCACGATCGGGAACTGTCCGATGCGTGGGTCTAAAACTAAGATCAAAAATGTACATTCTCATGTTAGCTATTTAAGCTAGGGTTTGAACAAAACAAAATCAGTTTCTTACAAAAACTCACGATGAAGAGTTCTTATTTAGATGATCTTTCAATCGTGTCGATCCGACAGTTAATTGTTAAAGCGAATCCGACCAATAATAAGTAAATTTAGTGCTCCATCATATATTGGTAAGCTTTCGTGTTCGACCGATCGCCGGAGTGCTAATTTTGCTTTCCCAAAACAGCGTCAGCTGCCAGTCCCAAGTTTGGAGGGGAATCATATTGGTAGAGTCGCCTAATACGGTCTTCCCACACAGCGCATCTGTGAGGAACGGTTGTGATTTTTTGCCGATACGAAACTCGTGTTCCCACAGAGCGTCAAAGTACATCTGGCATCCGAACAGCTGATCGATCAGCCGTGGCTCATGAAAACGTAAACAAAAGCTGTCGAATTGGTTTTCGCAAAATTAAAATGGAGCAGTTACCAACTATTTTGGCTGTTGTACAGCAGCAAAATCTTAGATTGCGACAGGTTTTTATGTCGCTAAATGTAAATGACGACGACGACTTGGAAGCTCTTCTTGAACTTTACTTTACCAAAGAGCAAATGCCACGAAGAGTGGGATGTACCGGAAAACAACGATGAGTTCTTTAAAGAGAGCTTTCGGATGGAGAAGCGTTCCTTTTTGGTGGATCGCCTAGAAGTTCTCCGAAAGAATGATCCTAACTGGCGAACTACACCTTGGGATCATCCTCGGAGTATCGTTCCATTGGAAGGCTATTCGGTGTGGCTCAAAACACTGTGTGCAAAATACTCCATGAATTTTTCCGGGCTTTCATTGCCGAGTTTGCCGATGAATTCATGTCCCCTGACTATTTAACTCTCGAAAAAGTTGAGGAGTGTGTCAGGGGGTTTGAACAAATTGGATTTCCCCAATGTCTAGGAGCAATTGGTAATAAATCAATTCATTAATCAGTTCACGTATATATATAAAATATATATATCTATATTCTAGATGGTTGTCATATTGAAATAAAACCATCGGCAGCAGATGCAGTCGATCATCACAACTATAAAGGTTGGTACTCAATCGTACTATTCGCTCTTGTGGATTACAGGCAAGTTACCTGCTCTTTAGATGTTTTATAATCTGCTAATTGTATTAAATTGTATATTAACTATAGTTACAGATTCACCTACGTAAACATCGGCTCTGCAGGGCGTTGCAACGACTCGACTATTTTTCAAAAGTCTAGCCTTGCAAGGAAATTGGGGTCGTCTACATTAATTCGGGAAAAATCAAAGGAAATCTGTGGCGTACAAGTTCCGTTGCTGCTTATTGGAGACTCGGCTTTCCGATTTTCCCAAACGCTGATGAAACCATACCCATTTTCGACGACCGCGAGCATAGAAGAGCGCACATTTAACTACAATTTGTCCAAAGCTAGGCGAGTTGTAGAAAATGCTTTTGGGCATTTAAAGGCCAGGTTTCGATTTGTTGGAAAGGGACTTGGCAGCCTCTACAAAAACAATAATGCAATTGTTCTAACCGGTTGTATTTTGCATAACATTTTAAATGAGCACAACAGCGTTATTAATGATAATTGGCAACTGGCTGCCAGTGACCTTCGGGAACAAGCCAATCGAACCAACATGTGTGCAGATTTTAGCCAGCCTGCTGAAAAAGTTAGAGCAGCAATTGCTCAATATTGTCTTAATAGAAACAACAATTTTTAAATAAATAGTGGTTTTATTAAGTTTTTTAATTAATTTTTTTATTTAAAGCCTATCAGTTTTTGGACTCCCTCAGAAATTGGAGAAGTTCCATCTGGAACTTCTCTTGGCTGTCCGCCATTCTTTGCACAATTTCAGTCTGCGCTTTCTGCTCCTCCAGCCTCTCTCGAGCAATTTCGAGCAGCTCACTTTTTGCTGGAGGCAAACTGCCGGAACGTCGACTCCGCTCAGATTTGATTCCTCCGGGTCCTCCAGAACGTCCTCTGAAAAATACTCCGTCGTATCTGCAATAAAAACATGTTAATTATTTAGTGTACATAAAAACTATCTGGGAGGGAACATACTCTCGTTGTCCACCGTATCCTGCTCCATATTGTGGACACGGAACGAGCCGAGGAACGCTTGCAGCGCCTCAAAATTCTGCCACCCAGATGGAGCCCCACCGCTTGGCCCCATTTTGTTTTTTTCCTGCCTGCAAATAATAATAATTTCGCGGAATTAATTAATCCAATATATTCTGGTACTCATATTTACTTGTATTTCCTTGTCATGTTCTCCAGCTTCGTCTTAATATCCTTCGAAGATACATCATACCCAGCCTCCCTCAAGGTCTGGGCCATCTCCATATACACATGGCTATTTTTTCGAGATCCCCGCAACTGCTCAATATTTTCCTGCCATACATTGATGAGCAGGCACTCCATATGAAGGGTCCACCCATGAAAACGTAAACAAAGTCTGTCGAATTGGCAGTTGCAAAATTGAAATGGAGCATTTACCAACTATTTTGGCTGTTTTACAACAGCAAAGGCACAGATTGCGTCAGATTTTATCTGCACTAACTTAAAATGAATCAGAATTTGAGTTGAATTTGAGTTTCTCTAATGGTTTTTGTCTAACAAAGAGCAAATTCCCAAATCTATAAAATAAAGTAGAGGTAGGTGTTTTATTTTAAATAAAAAAAAAAAAACGCCAACAGCTGTTGTGGGCATTCTTGTAGCTTTTGCGCCACATGTTTGTTTATTTTCGTAATGTTGGTCAAATTTTCACAGAAGAAGAAATCAGAGTTGCACTGAAAAACTAAATTTTCTTTTGGACTGCGCTACATCGCCGAGTTTCCTTACCAAGCCCTTTGGGTTTTTTTTTTGCCGGCTACCGAAACCGCACTAAACTTATTCCCGCCACTGTATGTCCGAAGATCGGCGGTTATATAGTGCGTCCGACGTTGGACCGACACGCCCAGAAGGGGCGGCAACGGGAGGCACCTAAGGCTTCAGTCTGAGTTTTTTTGTTTATTTATTATGTTTGTTTTATATTGATTTGTTCATCTATTTAGTCTCCTTATTTATGCATTTGGTATTTTAATTTTTTTTTATTATTTATTTATTTATTTATTTATTTGTTTATTTATTCATTTATTCATATTTATTCCTCATTTATTTTATATATTTTATTCATTTTTTGGTTAAATTTTCTTGTTGTGCCCCAACTTATTTTTCCTTGTGAATTTATAATTTTTTGTTCTTTGGTTTGTGTATCGGCTTCCCCTCGAAAATTCGTCCCCCTTCTGAGCGCTCAAACGGGTAGGTCGAGTATTTTGTTGATGTCGAGGAAAATGTAACGTACTATTCTTATTGCGGAAAGATACAACACTGGAAAAAAGGAGTTTGGCGGTTCAACGGAGACCAAACTACCCAATTGTACTTTTTGTAAAAATTATGATTGTAATTAAAAGTAAGGTTTAAAATGATGAATATGGAATAGTCCTTTTTTTCTGGGAAGGAAGAAGGGATCTATGGCGTGAGGTGATTGTGTGGAATCATAATAGGGGCAGCTGCATGAAGAATTTCTGCTGGCAGTTTGCAATGCAAGGGTGGGCAAGGCAGATGAGCTCCACAACATCCAGGAGTCTGAAAGGAGTCTGACCCTTTAAAAAGTATGTGGCGTTAATGAATGTTTCGTCCAGTTTCGAAGTTGTGCAAGTGTTATTGTTGTGCAAGTGTTAGTGTTGTGCAACGTCTCGTCTTAGTCTAGGGCGGTATGTTTAAAAGAATAAATTTTATCTGTTACGTGTGTCAGTGGGCCGGGCCAAGAACCAATGCCTGAGAGAGAGCTAGCCGAGGCATGGCCCAAGCCGATGGCTGCACATGCAGGACCTTGTTGGGTCATAACAAAAAACAAGAATCATCTGCAATATGACCAACCCGGAAATGGTAATGAAAGTCATTAAGGACTTCAATGGAAAGATGGCCAAACCTCTACTCACAAAAAGCAAGATGAAAACAAATTGTTTTTATCCGATTATAATTGCTCAACGTAAAAAACTAGCTATTGTAGGAACATAGAAGAAGCACCATGTAAAATAAGTGTAAGCAATGTATTATATCGATTGTAAGTAATGTATGCATATCGATAGTTAGTAATGATCGGCGTTTTTTGGCAAGAGAAGTTCGCAACTTTTGGTGTTTAACAAAATAAAGATGAAACTCAAATATATAAAGGCCTATTCTATGAAACTTCCCTTGCTCTTGAACTTGAGGAGTATATTTTATACTTACCGGAGCGCTACTCAACCGTAGATGATGCAACTATCAACATTATAAAGGATAACCGTTTTTATATTTTAAAAAAGGATGATAATAATTTGTACTTGGAATTGAATAAAGTTGTGAAATCATGAAAATTTATACATTTTTAATACTTTTAAGCTATATATTTGCAATAATAAAAATAAAATTTCTTCAAAACACAAATAAATTGTTATAAATATTTAATTACATTTACATTTCTCACAGTATCAAGTGAGTGTCTGAGAAAACTAGAGCAATGAAACGTCAAGTCTTAAAACAGTTGACAGAGAGTAGAAATATTTTAAAAAGAAAGTTCAATGAATTAAAACAAATAAAAAATGAGAGTACTGCTACTTTTAAACCAATTACAGCACCTTTACATGTACTCTCACAAAAATTCATAACGATCGGAGCATTAGAACCGAAGTTGTAGCTATTTATATCGCACGACCTGCACGTCGGCCGGAACAAACTTGAAACTTTAAACGCGATTATCTCAGAATCGTTTTTTTTTTTTCGAAATTACCTTTGCGGTGGACACGATTACTAAAAAACTATTAATCCGATCGACACCAAATTTTGACCACTTATTTATTATCACAAAAACTAGTCCGTGAACGAAGGATTTTCAATTTTTTTGAAAACTTCCTTTTTTAGAGCATAAAAACCGAAAAATTTACCCCTTAAAAAGGACATTTTTTGTTAAAATCGTCGCCTTTTTTTTTTAATCAAAATTTTTACAAACCCTTCGTTCACGGTCTAGACAATTCAATATACTAACGAAATGTTTTTGAATTTTTGATTTCTGATGAATCGTTCTCGGGATATGATGTCCACCGCAAGTCACTATCGGAAAAAGAGGGTATTTGAATTCGGCCATAACTTTTTTATTAGTTAATATTTTTTTATAAAAAAATTTTAATAAGTACCCAGAAAGATGTACTAAACAACGCCGGTAAAACATTTTTAATAAATATTCTTTATGGTGTCAAAAAAAAATCGACAAAACTTCATATTTTTGCGCGGTACAACTGTATATAACCCCTTAAGGAAAGAAAAGATGTTGGATAACAGTTATGGTCCCAGAAAAGAAAATAATATTTTAATGTTGGGGAACAGTACACTTAAAATTAAAAAAATAAAATGGAATTGGAAAGTGGAAACTCATGGACCCTAACACAAGGTCTATACTCGTTAATTTTTTATAACGCGCCTGGTGACTAAACTAAAGATGATTTAAAAATATATAAACAAATTTTAATTGAGACAAGTGCTCACAAAAGAAACTATGATCCCGACGGACAATTAAAAGGAAATCGTTCGAACAAATATTCATCAATTATTAGACCTCTTGTGACATCAGCTCTCTCACCCGCCCGAAAATATACTGGGTCAGCGTATATGAAACTTCAACAAATGAAACCCAATTATGTATATTGGAATGACGTCAATGAACTTGTAGAAAGGTTGCACCTCTTAATGAGTTCAAAAGCTGCTGGCAACAATAATCATTCTAATGAGATTTACTCGATAGTGGAAGAGTTGCGAGAAGCAAAAATAATATATTCATAAAAAACACAATTAATCAAGTTGAAAATATCAATCAAAATACTCCTATTAGATCACCGAATCAAAATTTTCAACCTTTTCCCTATGACTAAAGTTTGCTTTGTGTGTCATTCCCATTAGTATCTGCATCCGACAAATATAATATATAAATATTGATGTACAAATGATAGAATGCAGTCCTAATCTGGTTAAAGTAAAAGAGTCAGCCTATTATTATTTGCAAAGCTACAGATACAGGGCTTTGAGGAAACAATAAAAAACCGAAAATCAAAGCATTGAGCATGTTATAAGGGAGAATTTGTACTCCTTTAATAGTGTATGCTCTATAAATTTTAAGTCGCTACGACTTAATCAGAAATTGTTTGTAGCTTATGTCTACTGCACAGATCTATCCTGTAATTTGTACATGTTTAAAGGGTCTTATAATGGATCAGTTCAAGTTTTTTCAAATAAATTAAGCTTGACTCACTCCATTAACTCAAAAAAGACTACACAGTGTAGGGCCATAAATCGGTTTCTTGCCAAGCAAGAAATTAAGGGCAGCACAGCTTTTTAATTTAGAAATAGGATAATAAAGAAAGCCAGTACAAATAGGGCATTAGTTGGCAATGACCAAATGATAAATGATAATTTATCTTATTATAGAAATCTCATTTCTGAGGAAAATGCAAAAGAGGATTTTGAAAAAGATCCCTTTAAGGATGCATTTGAAATGAGGTGCAAAAATGTTGCCCATTATATTCAGCATCTTTCAACTAGACTAGAGGTGCAGTTATGGAACAAAGACCACATAGATCTGTTCCTCAATCAAATTAAAAATGATACGTTGCACATATGTAGATGCAACAGGATGTGTTGTGCAGCCAATGAAGTTTATAGACAAAAGAATTTATCTCTACTCATTGGTGGCGCATATTCCAGAGCATCAAATGGTGTATCCTGTGGCACATGCTATTTTGTCGAACCACACTGCCTATGATATTGGTCTATTTCTTTGCGACCTAAATAGGTTTTGTAAACTAAATAAATTCAATATGCCAATATGCAAACGCATCATTACAGATGTCAGTTTTGCAATTATCCAAGCGGTTCTAAAAGAATTTAATGACTTGGATGTTATAGCATACAATAGCATGTGTTTTAACTTTTTGTACCAAAAAAGTGAAATATTTCCTGCAGTATGCGTTCAGTTTTGTACCAGCCATTATGCAAAAATAATGTGCTCCGACATCGACAAAACTGTTGGATTGGAAAACGTTGCATTAAGAGATTTTCTAAGAAATGCCATAGGTTCATTGTGGTAACCGTACTTCTTTCTCAAGTCATAAACAGAAAGGTACACGAGGCTACCTAATATTTATTAGATAAAACCTCGACTGCTTTTGATTTGGCATAGCATGAAGCATATGCCAAGCCCATTAAAAATAATAGTGATTATTCACTTAATACCATTACTGTTAAGAGTGAATTTAAGCAACGATTTACGATAATTACCTCTAAAGTATTGAAACTAATTTCAGAGGAATCAAAAATCGGCGAAAAAAACCGGTTTTATCATCAAAAAATGGTGGATGTTATTTTAGGAAAATATATGGTTTTTGCGCCATTTTGGACCAATATAAGAACATAGTGTTATCAAAAATAAGCAGGGACTTAAACTGGGAAGACTAAACAAAACTATTTTAAAAGCTAAACCTAAAAAAGGATGCTTAAAAGAAATAATGTGTACCCAGGAAGAGTAGTACGCCAGCGGATTATGTCGTAAAATTAACTTAACGTTTATTGACTTAACACAGAATGTGTTCAGACTCGAAAGTCAACAGACCCAGTTGCTGTTGGACTTAGAAGTCAGCAGGGAAATTTAGGAGAGTTTTCGTGACTATAATTTATTTGAAAGAACCTGATTTACCTGGTCCCAAAAGGTTGACTTCGCTGCTAATTACTGGCGAGATTAGCTCCGTACCCGATCGCAATCGGCTGCTAAGTGATTTTCTACGAGCTGCGGCCCGCTTTATATAGGGCCTGGCGTGGTCTAGTGTGCCCGTCACCTATGCTGGATTTGCTCGAATTAGTGTGGCCAGCCTCCGTTCGGTCCAGTGTGACCCTCTACTCGCGATCTGTGGCGGGCGCGCACATTCATTTTAAAATGTCCGTCAAATTAGCGTCGGTGAGTTAGCATCGAAATGGAACGGTGGGAAAATGAAACACTGAGGGATTTTTTATTTTTAATTTATTTCGTTAATAAGGCACTAATTTGAACAAAATAAAGTTTATAAATGCTTAAAAATGAATTTACTAATGATTTTTACTGGGTTTGAGGGGATTTGACCCTTCGGTCTATTAAAAAAAGCATTCGAAAAATCGTGTTTTCGCAATTTTGTTTATATCTCGGCTCAACGAATTTGTGCAGATATACCCGGTATGCCAGGATAAAGGACATTTATTGTACTTTCACCCTGCAAAGTTTCATTAAAATCTATCCGTAAGTTTTTGAGAAAATTGCGTAACAGTAAACTAACCTCGGGTTTCGCTCCATACAAAATGGGGCAGAAAAAATTGTAACTCCTATAACTCCAGTTAACGAATTTGTGCCAATATGCACGGTATACTGGCTTATTAAGGGAAGTTTAAAGAATATTTGGTAAAAGTTTCATAAGATTCTATCCGTCAGTTTTTGAGAAAATCGCATAGCAGTGGGTGGTGTAGGTGGGCTGATAACAGAGGCGCTAACTTTGAAAATGGAACCAGCTGTGAACCTGCAGAGAACCAGTTGCCGAACCAGACAGCGGAACCATGTTAAAGAAATACTAGATTTAAGAACATTAGCAATTTTTTAAACTTAATATTAAATAAATTAACTGCCCAATAAACGACATCGCCATTTTAAGAAATTTGTTAGGTGTTTCATCAAAATTCGTCCAGTCTTTTGGGAGAAATTAGCTATTACCCGAATTTTTAATTATTGTTGTAAATACCTCGGTATTACTATGCACCCCTGGTAACAAACACCATCTAAGTTCGGCGCTAAATTTAAAAAAAATTTAGTAATGTTCAACGAATTTGTGCCAACATGCACGGTATATCAAACGAAAGGGGACATTTTACTCTAATTTCGAATTAAGTCTTATTGAATTCTACTTGGCAGATTTTGAGAAAATCAGGTGTTTATATTTCCGACCCCAATTAATTAACACTGGCTCATATCGTCCCTCACACCGCGTGGAGTGCCCCATACGATATTTTCGACGCTAACTTTTAAAAATATTTTGCAGTCCTCAACGAATTTGTGCCAACATGCACGGTATATCAAACGAAAGGGGACATTTTACTCTAATTTCGAATTAAGTCTTATTGAATTCTACTTGGCAGATTTTGAGAAAATCAGGTGTTTATATTTCCGACCCCAATTAATTAACACTGGCTTCATATCGATAGGAGCGCGTCCCACTCCCTATCGATACGCCTCCCCCAGAAAATATTTATATTGACAATTTGAACAATTGTATTAATTATGCATGCCCAATAAACGACCTTGTCATTCTAAGCAATTTGGTAGGTGTTTTATCAAATTCCCTTCAGGAGAAAACCCCTTTTTTCTATTTATTTACATATATGTACCAAGCGAATAATATATGTATACGGCAGCCCTGGCTGCCTATATATAATTAAATTTGATTTTATCTTTTGGATACGACTTATGCAAAGGGAAGATTGTTTCATAAACGACATCGTTTTTCTAAACATTTTAATCCATATTTCATCAAAATCCGTTCAGTCGTTTAGCAGAAAATCCATTTTTCTTGTTTTTTCGATTATTATTTAGGTACAAGTAGCGTTTTTTTTTTTGCTTGTACCAACAAACACTGTACACTAAGTCACAGCGAAAATTCTGAATAAATTTTGGTAAAAATATCCAAACGTTTAGGCCAGTAGTTGTTAAGAAAATTAGTTTTTAAGATCCAATTGTATTCATATGCTTCTGCAGCCCTGGCTGATCGACAAGTGTAATCGTCGACGGTCTGGCAACACCGACCTGTCCTTATTCGCGCTGAAATCTTCAAGAGGACAACGCCACGAACAAAGTTTTTTTTCAAATAACATATTAAATAAACGCAATAACACAAGTAAGTACACCACCGTAAACCAGGCGCCATTTGTTTTATTATATTTATTTGATTTATACATATTTATTCACCTATTCTTTCATTTTCAATATTTCAGATGCAAATAGTTAATAACTATTTTGATGGCTGTGGCGGCGCTGGTGGCGGCAAACGCGGTGGTGGCGGCCAACGTGGTCGTGGCGGCCAACGCGGTCGTGGCGGCCAACGCGGTCCTGGCGGCCAACGTGGTCGTGGCGGCCAAGCTGGTCGTGGCGGCCAAGATGGTCGTGGCGGCCAAGATGGTCGTGGCGACCAGGAGGAACGACTGGGCCTCAATCGGCGGCAGAGGGTGGCGTTGGCCCACCAGGCAGCAAGGAATTACCCGGCGGACCAGCAACGACTGATCCGCCGCGCAATAATGGACACTCTGCGACCTCGGCAGGCCCAAGATGAACGGCAGGAAGCAGAGCCTGTGGAGCATCCAGAGCGACCGGAGCAGATGGAGGAGGCCTTCGGAGGAATAAATATAAATTAAATAAATAAAATAAATAAAAAAATTCAATAATAATGAAATACTACGAAGTTTTATTCCTTTTCTTAAGGGGGGACATCTGAGTAACTTTTTTTAAAAATCGAAAAAAAATTTTTTTGCTTAAAAAATTCTTTAGGGTCTTAAAAATAACATATCAAAAGATAGAGTCCGTCAAAAGTTTCTAAGTGTCGAAATTTTTCAGTCTGCGGCGATGCCTCACATGTAATCATATACGATTTTAAAACTTTAAACGCGTTTTTCTCAAAACTACTTTTTTTGAGTTGGCCGAAAACATAACTCGAACAAATCTTAACCGATCGATCTGAAATTTTGACAGTATATCCAAAATACCTATGGCTATCGACGTACGTAGTATTTGAGCGAGACTATAAAGGTAGCTCCGATTTCCACCAGGCACTCACTGGTCTGGACCAATATTCAGGACACAGACTTGCCTCACGTGTGTGGCACTCTGAGTGCACATGCAGTATCAATGTATTGATATTTTCTTCCTTAACTTTTTATTTCAGTGGATTTCATTAAATAATTAAAATATTTGCTTACAAGACACAAACATCTTACAACGATTACTAATGATAGATACAAATCAAACTCGTTGAATAAAATAAACAGTCCCATTGAAATATGTTTTTAAGTACAACATTAAGCTTAAGGCATTACAAAATCACACATTTTTACGGAGTTCACACTTTTGTGTAATCAAATTAAAATGACATTCTGTAAAACTTGGTTCCTAGAAAGCCCAAGCATAATCGTTGTCACTGTTTTGCGTTTGCTGCTGCTGCTGAATCTGATTGGCTTGCAATAGTGTCATGCTGGTTGATCTGCATTTCCTCCATCCCCTGCGCCTGTTGGAAGTCGAGCTGCGCGTGCTGCTGGTAGTCCAGAGATGTGGGTTCGTTGGGCGAATCCACCAGATATATCTGCGACTGCGTTGGTTGGCCACCTAAACCCTTGTCCCTCTCCGAGATTTCCAGATCCGTCGTTTATGACCAAGCCGTTTTTCTTGCCACTTGTGGACATCTCCGCCGGCATTTGAATGGCCGCTGAATCGTCAGTGAGCGTAGTCGGACCCATTCCAGCTACAGATGTGGCAGCTGCACCAGCGGAACTCGTACTGGCCTCCGTTGAACTGTAAAACATAAGATTAGAAATGTAAAAGAGGGACTTTGCCAACTGTACCCACCTGCCAACTGCTGTTCCTCAATGTCGATCTCTGTCTTGATATTCTTAGGATCGATATAGTCGTCGCCGTGGGGGTGTATGCATTTGCCCTGATCCAAAATGATGACCGCATCGTCTTCGGTTACCTATTAAATTATTATTTAATTCATTTAATATAAAGTGTTCACTCCTTTCCGCACCACCATTGAGGTATAGTGTATGGCGCGTTTTTTTTAAAGTGGTATCCCCTTTAGGCCTATTCCACTAATTGCATTTTTTTTAATTGGTTTTTTTTTTTAAATAAATATTTTTAATAATAATACAAAAGAAGCAGTTCTTTTTTGTTTTATAAATTTATGTTGAAAGAAGCAGTTATTTTATTCTTTATATATTTATACCCTTGCAGGGTATTATAATTTCAGTCAGGAGTTTGCAACGCAGTGAAGGAGACATTTCCGACCCTATAAAGTATACATATTCTTGATCAGCATCACAGCCAAGTCGATCTAGCCATGTCCGTCTGTCCGTTTCTACGCAAACTAGTCCCTCAGTTTTAAAGCTATCTGAATGAAACTTTGCATATAGTCTTCTATATACTCTCACTGCTATATATGTCGGAACGGGCCGGATCGGACGACTATATCATATAGCTGCCATACAAATGTTCGATACATTTTTAGAAAAAAAATTATAACTTTGCTGTTTTTCAATATTCTTGCACACTTTTTTAGATATGGCCATTCTATATTATTATAGAATTTTGGTAAAAATTTTATGAAAATCGGACGACTATATGATATAGCTGCCATAGGAACGATCGAGAAATAAATAGGAAAAAAATTATAGCTTCGTTGTTTTCCAACGTATATTTATCTACTCTGAGATATAAGCTTTTTTTATTATTCTAGAATTATGGTATAAATTTCATAAAAATCGGACAACTATATCATATAGCTGCCATAGAAGCGATCGGTAGATGTAGAGAAAATGTAAGGCTGGGAATGTATAACTGTAACTGTCAAACTGTAAACGTAATAAGTCTAGGTAAAATGTAATGAAACTCTGTTTTGTGTGTGTTTTAAGCATTTAAATTTATAATATAAATATCAAAACCAATCTGCAAGGGTATACAAACTTCGGCGTGCCGAAGTTAGCTTCCTTTCTTGTTATAAATATTTTTTGTATATCTTTTATTTTTTTTTTTTTTTAATAATTTAAATATTTTTTATTTCATTATTGTCTAAGTTGCTTTGCACATTAGACAATTATTAAAATTAGATGTAGATCTATAATATTGGGAAATACATTGACCACAAATAGTTCGTCCACATGTGTTACATGATACTAGAGAATCGAATGGTATCCACTTGCTACAATGCAAGCAAATATCAGCTAAGGAATCAACATTGCTAAGTAGTTGGTGAAAAACTTGTTTTCTAAACAAATGCGCGGGCTGCAAATTTGTCATTGGCTCATTTTCCAAGTAGCATTTAGCAAACTGCAATATAAAAATGCCACAAATGTACTCGTCTTTTTGAATGTCATGTTCTATAGACACGCAAGTATTGTTCATTTTACTTATGCGGTCTAACAAATCTTTGTAGTATATCATAAACATTTCAGCTGTTGATGTTTGACCGAAAGGATATAAAAACATAAACTCTTGTTTAGTAATGTCTACAAGCATATACTAAAATGATTTTGGTAACAGTGAGGAATAATTAAATGACCAGCTGATTCCTCATAAGCTGTTTTAATTATAGCCTCATTCTGAAAACCATAATCACCAAGCTGGCACGGAAGGTTAATGTATATAGGGTCATTTTGATCATTAATTAAAGCAGTTAAAGCTGCATCTAATACAAGGTTAGAGAGCCACTTTTTGTCCTGCAATGTCAGTATATCATCCAATTCAAGATGATATACAAATTTATTCATATTTAATGTATGTATAGACCCGAACAGACTCTTACAATTTAGCACGTGAAAAGGTTTATTTTCGGGTAAAACGGTGCGTGATTAAACTATTTTTGTAAGAGCATTTTTGAAGTTCTCCTCCATTTTAAACATATTACCCTTTTTAGAGTAAGAATGGTCTAAATTTATTGAAGAACTTAAATTTAGGTCAATATTTTGCGGGTTATTTAATTCAGATTCACAGACAGTATTTAGTCGTGAAAAATCTCCTTTGAATAACCCTATTTTTAGTTTTTGGTGCTTTTTTTTTCCAACTCTCTTTAACAGTTGACCATTTTTTATTTGACAACATATCGGCTGTACGTTCATTTTTTTGTAATGTAAACTTTTTTGGTTTAGCTTTAATAACAGTACCATGAGTCAATGGGGAACGTGAAAATTCTGGATGTGCAAGTTCAAGTTGCCGCACCACAGAGTTTGAAAAATCATTCATTTTACGAATGAATCTACCAAGTTTTAGTCCCTGCTTATTTTTTATGACACTGTGTTTTAGTGTCTTAAACATTGACTCTATTGCACCATTGCTGGGTCTTTTATTCCTAGGATCAATATAAATTCCCATTATATTGGTCCAAAATGGCGCAAAAACTATATATTTCCCTAAAATAACATCCACCATTTTTGGATGATAAAATAGATTTTCTTTGCCGATTTCTGAATGTGCTGATTCCTCTGAAATGATTTTTAATGCTTCAGAGGTAATTATATTAAATCGTTTCTTAAATTCACTCTTACCAGCTATGGTATTAAGTGACTAATCACCATTCTTTTTAATTGGCTTTGCATATGTTTCATGCTCTGCCAAATCAAAAACAGTCGAGGTACTACCTGATAAATATGAAATAGCATCGTGTACCTTTCTGTTTATGACTTGAGAAAGAAGAATATTTACCACATTAAAGAACCACTTCTCTAAGTCACTGACAGTGATTATATTATAAGCCAGTCCTTGGGCATTTCTGAGAAAATCTCTTAATGCAACGTTTGCCAAGCCAACAGTTTTGTCGATGTCGGAGCACATTATTTTTGCATAATGGCTCGTACAAAACTGAACGCATACTGCAGGAAATATTTCACTTTTTTGGTACAAAAAGTTAAAACACATGCTATTGTATGCTATAACATCCAAGTCATTAAATTCTTTTAGAACCGCTTGGATAATTGCAAAACTGACATCTGTAATGATGCGTTTGCATATTGGCATATTGAATTTATTTAGTTTACAAAACCTATTTAGGTCGCATACAAATAGACCAATGTCATAGGCAGTGTGGCTTGACAAAATAGCATCTGCCACAGAATACACCATTTGATGCTCTGGAATGTGTGCCACCGATGACTACAGATAAATTCTATTCCCTACAAACTTCATTGGCTGCACAACACATCCTGTTGCATCTATGTGCAACGTATCATTTTTAATTTGATTAAGGAACAGACCTATGTGGTCTTTGTTCCATAACTGCACCTCTAGTCTAGTTGAAAGATGCTGAATATAATGGGCAAAATTATTGCACCTCATTTCAAATGCATCCTTAAAGGGATCTTTTTCAAAATCCTCTTTTGCATTTTCCTCAGAAATGAGATTTCTATAATAAGATAAATTATCATTTATCATTTGGTCATTGCCAACTAATGCCCTATTTGTACTGGCTTTCTTTATTATCCTATTTCTAAATTAAAAAGCTGTGCTGCCCTTAATTTCTTGCTTGGCAAGAAACCGATTTATGGCCCTACACTGTGCAGTCTTTTTTGAGTTAATGGAGTGAGTCAAGCTTAATGGATCTGTGCTGTAGGCATAGGCTACAAAGGATTTTTGATTAAGTCGTATCGACTTAAAA